TAAAGTGGCTGGTGAGTATTTATAATAACAAACCCAAACAACTGAACCGTCTTTCAGCTTTTCCAACTATATTTTGAAGACTTGATCTTCACATCAGCGGCTGTCATCTCGCTGATATATTTGATGATTCAGATACTGGAATGATATATTGGAGCATTAATGTTTTTTTTCCCACTTTCTGTGCATTTAAACAGCTCTGAAGTTTCAAATGGTCATTTCTGCCATCTGCACACTTATGAAGACAGTTGAATCATCTTTTTAAAGTTAAAGCCCTGACGCAGTTCAAACGCCGTGAAACATCGACGTGACTTCCTCCCTTTAGTCCCATCTGTTTCCCCCAAAAAATTTTTTAAAAAGGAAAGGAAATAAAAGAAGTTTCTCCCCCCTGAGCTCCGTCCTCTTGGCTGATAGCCAGAGACAAAGATAAGATGTAGGGCACTTAGCCTGGCATCAGCATGGGAGCCCTGTCGCCCGGAGGCCTGAATAATTCAGCGCCTAAGATAAATTTACCGCTCATGAAGTCATGCAGAAAAGACATATCAGAGCAGCATTATTACCTTTACTCTCTTATTTGAATACCTAATTAGGAGATTTCCTTTTTTTGTTTGTTTTGTTGGTGTGAAAACCTCGCAGAGACCGAACCTCGACTCTAATAGCAAAAGTAAACACACATGCAACAGGAGTCCATATTTGCGCTCTTGTGCAGCTTACTCGCATTTTGCACCGTCATGCACAACCTTCCTGACAGGTTTAACTCTGAAGGCATCTTTGTGCTTTGCGTTTATCAAGGGCGGGATAGCTTTGAGCCATAACTCTAGTTCCTTCCCACAACCACACTGTAAACATCTCCGGTCGCTGTCAACAGCCAGAAAGTCAGTCGTCAATCCAGCGCTGTCGAGCGGCAACAACGTGTCACCCAGAAGCCTCGTTTAATCACATCCTGGCTGTTGTTCGGAGTGAAGTTATAACCTGAATTAACAGATTTGTATCTTTTTCCTCAGCTCTCCTGTGCCCTTTCTTTTAAGGTCACCAGCTCGGGCATCCTTTGTGCCTTTTTTGCACGACCTAACCCGATAAGACTCAGAAGGTCAAGAGGAGACAAAAAAAAAAAAAAAAAGGAGTAGGGCATTGTTAATCCTCCGTCTAGTGCTCAAAACACCCCTCCATCTCCATCTCATCTCCATTATGTGGAAATAATATGATAGAGAGCCGGAGGTCGACAGACTACCTCCTTGAGATGAATAAGACAAATCATCTTTTCATTACGGCGCCGAAAAAGAGAGAGAGAGAGGGGCAGTGAGCAAAGAAGGAAATGAGACAGAATAGGATATGAAGACGGATGGTTCAGTCGCACGAGAGAAGGGGAGGGAGAAGTCAGCCTGCAGGTCAGCGGACACTGGCTTTAATCATTGCAATGCGGCGGCGATGCAGTGCAGGGCAACACAAAAAGAGGCGACTTCATGCTTTAAAATGTGTTAGTCGATTTTATTTTTGTCTTTGTACATTGAGGGAAAAAGACAGACCCATAATATCAAGAACAAAAAGTGCATGCATGTTTAAAAAAATAAATAAATAAAAAATGAAATGGGTGACACATCTGCATGGCTCTCCACTCTGGGGAGGGATGGAACTTTTTGGTTTTCGTCACGGTCTGAAAACTGAAAGATGACGTCACACCGACAACATCAGGGACAACTTTGCGCAAGTAGGCAAACAAACTTTTATGTCTACAACTAGTGGAATTACCCTTTAAAATGTGCTTAAACCACCACATAAATCAGCTGTTACGTGGTAATCGTAGAAAAAGTAAAAAATTTACAACCTTTATTTCTGTTTAAGATCTTCTAGGAATAACCTTTGAAGTTCATCTTCATCAGAAGATAGCGAGAGTGTTCTCTGCCTCTGCAGCGACCCTTGGAAACTATTCTAAATGTCATCAAACTACATCTTTATTGTTGCACACTGAGGTGTCAGACGTTATCATTAAAAGGTATAGGAGAGCTTATAAAATGTCTTTATGGGGTAAAAAGAATAACTTAACACATCCTTCAGTAGTTCAGCTTCTCCCCGGGTTGTAGGGAAGTATGATTAAACTTTGGGTGCAGTCAG